CAGTTCTTAGCTGTATTTGAAATTTGTAATGATTAAATTGCATTGTGTGATAAAAACTTTGCCAGAAAGCAATTTCCCTCCAATTAGCTAAATTTAAAGCAGTAAGATGACTTAACAGTTCAAGAACATAATTTGACAAAATTTCTAACTATCGATAGAAACCAAAAACCAGCATCAATAATAATTAGCATCACCTACAGATGTATGGGCAATTTTTAGATTATTAATTTCTAAGTCATTTTGCATCTGATTGGCAACCAAAACACAAATTAGGTTGTTTTAAATTTTCTTGTACAGTTGGATACAAATTCAAAACATGTGGGCAGCAGTGGTGCAGGGGTCAAGCATGTGACCAGCATGTCCAGAGGCTTTCACAGGTTCACACGGCCGTCACAGGTTTGAGTCTCAGCCAGTTGACCTTTGCCGCATGTCTACACCCTCTCTCTAATCATATTTCCTGTCTGCCTACTTTCAAAAATAATATAATGAAAGACCATTAGCATCCAAAAATATAATAATAAAAAGGAAAATGTTTGCAAAAGTGAGGGACATTCAGTACAATTCTTTGAGCTGATTGGGTAAATGTTAAGGCTTTTGGCCAATCACAGCAGCAGTAGCAGCTGCGATGTATCACATTCTTGAGGTGTTTCGCAGTTAACAGAGTTAAATCTGTATGGGAGGGACAGGAAAACATCTTTCCCATCCACAAAGGCACAAATTGTGTCTTTTTGCTCGTTTATTCAAAAGAGAAATAGAGAGGTATTCCAGCTAACAAAGATTGAACAGCAGCATCTTCAAGTACATCCCCTGGTGCCAAGCTTCACAGCCAACTTTGTTTTGCTTCAACCTGCAGCTTCTGGTAGATGTCATACATGTCATTGCATTTTACATGTTCGAAACATATCTGTATGCGAGGATAATGAATGCGTCTGTTGGCTTCTGGCTAGATGTATTTTCGGGAGTTTGTGAATTCAAAAGACAATTCATCTTGCTTGCAAGGTAAACAAATTCATGCATTAAGGTAGAAGGCACGAAAAACAACTCAGTCACCAGAGCTTTCCTTTATCTTGCTTAAAGGACAACGAAGTTTAGTTGCGTGGTGAGTTATGACATAGAACAACCGTGTCACTCCTCTTAAGGTGAGCTATTCCAAAAACTGCATTTGTTGAGCTATTCCTGCAGGACAAAAGTTGTAGAAATGGTTTCAATGGCAATATTAATTTTGTTTGTCACAGAGCATTAACGTTTCCCTTAAGAGCAAGTTAGTTTGCCAAAGTCCTCTCATTATTCTAACAAACTTCTGGATTAGAGCAAATGCCAACCTTAACTCAGAGCAGGTCATTCGTAAAGGTTTTTCTCTATCTGAAAACTCTGTAAATCAGTGGCGGCCGGCCCATAGGGGGCGCTGGGGCACCGCCCTCCCTGATAAGAAGAGAGAAACGTAAAATATATTTTTAGAAATTAACTCATAAATGTCAGTTTTACTCTCTAGACTGTGTACCTATTAGCAAAACAAATTATATAAACTACATTTCCCTATCTACTGTCATTAATTTGTGGATTTCCACAGACAGACTCCTACCGTCTCTGTTCTGGGGGCGCTTATCAGACTGACCCACATTTGCAGAGAATCTGTCAATCATGTACTATTGCTAGGTGAATTTAATGGCCAATCAGCGTCTCGGAACTTTATGGTATTGGGGCGCTGAAAATACTGCGCTTTAACAGGCTTCTGCACCCAAGCGCAGGTGCAGACAATTAGAGGGAAGATGGCGAATGTAACGACCGAGATGCAGCTTCCACTAAATTCGGTGAGATCCTTATTTATCTACCCGTTTGCCAGAAGAATATCCCTGTTGTAGGATATGAACATTTCATTTCATGGTTATTGTGACTGTGACGAATCCACCTCGTCGCTTAAAACAACCTCTCTAACTTTGCGCACCACACACACATTCCTGTTATACTGTGTTTGTGAGGACCAATACACTCGCGCTGAGACCAGTAGCTCCATGAACTTAAAACACACAAGCTGTTCCTGGTTACCTGCTGGCGTATTGAGGGTGCACACTTAATATTTCAGTGGGGTTAGCCGTGTGTGTGTGTGTGTGTGTGTGTGGGGTGTGTGTGTGTGTGTGTGTGTGTGTGTGTGTGTGTGTGGGTGTGGGTGTGTACGTGTTTATGCTACGGGGACTTGTCATCTTCAGTCTGGCTGCGTCTTTGCTGGGTTCAAACCCAGTTTGGTGTAATTGAATAAGTAAATGAATCTGTGTAAAAGAATTAAGTTGTAAAAATTATTTGTTTTTGTACATCAATTGTTTGTGGAGGTAATATATGGACAAAACTGATTAATGAGAAGAAATCAGAAATAAGAGAGCCTGAGGTGAGGGGCTTAAACTATTTAATGAGGGCTGTGGGAAGAAAAGCGGCAATTTTTGTTTTCTGTTTCTTTGTTACATTGCTGGTAACCGGAGGGAGGCTGAGGCCCAGAGTATCTTGTATGTTTAGTTTCTTTTGCACCCTGTTTTGATTTTTTGAGCTCAATAAATCACCAACACCGGTAACCCGACTGAGACTGGATTCTTGGAGGCCAAAGAACCCCGTCACAGTGACCCAAATCATCACTGTTACTGTTATTATATAGTAAATTAAATCATTACTGTTAAATTGTATGTATTGTCCAATTGTTTATTTGAATTCTTATTCCGGATTAGTTGGAGACATACACTAGGCTATATCAGCCCCACCAAAAATATTTTTCACCAGCCGCCACTGCTGTAAATGTCCTTGTTCTTTGTCCTGCTGTGTGTGTGTTTGATCGTATATACTCTATAATTATTGTCAGTGACAGGTATAAATGTATGTATTTATTTAAAAGTATTTTATTATTTCTTTTTCATATTAGAAATCCAAGATAGGCTATTAAATGCAAATGAATTGGAAAGATGTTTGCAATATAAGAGAAAAAGCATACCATTATAATCAAACCCATAATAGTATGTTGTTCCCCATTTTCTGAAAAAAACAAACAAAAATTGACACAGTGGCCTATTGAGGAAGGGACTTCCCTAGACCCCAGAAAATGGGCTGTGGTATCTGACAGCAATATGTTAGCAGCAGATGTTTTATATCCAATAAACTGTGATGGGGGGATGAAGTGAGATCTAGGGAATTTGGAGTCTTAAGTTAACAAGTGAAGTTTTTTTTTCTTTTTGAGTCCCTTTTCCATGCCTAAACCATCTTTACCTTTTGATAAGCACCCTATCCATGCAAGAGATAGAGTGCAAGAGAACACAAAGATCAGGAGATCGTTAAAAATAAAGCCCAAGTGACAGTTTCCACAAGGAGGTACCACATGGTCAGCAGCAATCAAAGATAGGGGTCATACCACAAAGAAGCATCCCCATACGGCAGGACATCAAGGAATTCCAGAGACACATATACTCTAAGGAAAAGCTAAATTCCACATATAAAACACCTTTGTGTAAAAAGATGGCTCACTGTTCTGGAAACTGCTGGAAACCTCAACAGATAATCATGCAAATTTAAGATCCTTCATAAAATATACTGATGACCCAGAGTATCCTTTTAATGAGACATACTACAGTGTTTCTAGCCAGAGGTCTAATTTATAGCCACTGTAATATGACTGCTATACAGGAGACCCTTCTTGCCCACAGCCATCACTTTCTAGAACAACTTTTTTAATCTCATTGTGATGAAGTTCTTACAATTGAAGTTACCTGACTTGATTATCCCACCAAATAACATTTTTTCCCAACTTCATTTAGCTCTCCAGTCTTTGGGGAAAATGTAAAAAGTAAATGTACATGTCATACCGACATTATTATTGAAACAATTCAAATATGTGTTTTTTTTTAAAGCAATTGGAATATGCTTCCCTCTATCAGTAAAATATGTGAGATCATGTTTGACAATTCTGTGTATTATTCAAGTGTTGTAGCCCATGTACTTAAAGCATTTTAATCTCCACATGTAGCTCCAATGACCTCTGAAACCCCAATCTGATCAGCACAGCTCTGTCCACCACCCTCTGCATTTTAGGACCCAAACTTGTGATGAGATGAGTGATGCTGAGGGATTCCTCTGCCCATAAAGATCCAGATAGTGGATTTCCAAGTATCTTGTCTCTGTTGCTACGCATATTCTCGTGCCTGGCTGTCCACAGCATGTGGGCGTATAAATCTGTGTGGTCCATCGGTCAGTAGTTGGACACTGTTGCTGCTACTTACATTTGATCTTCCTCTTACACTCACACACATTCAGACACACTCATAATAATAGCCACACATTCAGTAACTCATGCATGCTGGAGAACTAGAGGTGACTGCCACCTAAGCCCTCACTGCAGGTGAAGTGAGCCGCTTTTCTGTGGTGTGGGTGAGTATTCAACACTGATGGGAAACCAACCGTTTAACCCAGAAAGAAAAGCAAGAACACACTGATTCACGCACACACAAACACACAGGGGCGCGCATGCATCACCAGCTTTATCCCCTGCGTGATTCCTCCCTCGATACTAAATCCTCTCTAACGCACATCTGTCCATGGCGCGTATTCTGGCCGGCCGTCCTATCTCTGCACAATCCAGCCTGGCTTCATTAAACACTTTCAATCAATGACACAGATTGAATCACTTCTGCAGAGCGCTTTAACCCCAGAAAAAAAAAAAAAAAAAACGCATTCTTTAAAAAGAAAAAAAAAATCTTAGTCTGAAAGCTTTCCCAAAAAATAAAAAATAAACGCGCCAGCAGTGGAAAATAATGTAAATGAATAAATGAAAAGCATGCTTTTTAAAAAAGCCTCGTAAAATGAGCTCAGTGAGGTTCTGTTGCACCAATTGGAGTCTGTCAGGGCAGGTGCGTTCTCGCCCCGCCGTCGCTTTTACATCCGCTGCATATGATTTATCAGAGCATGCCTGTAATTAAGAGAAAACTACAAATGAACCAATTGTTGCTAAATGGAAGTAAAACAATTACCTTCACTTATTTCCCATTCAGATGGTGCGTCCACAGGCTGTAGCAAATGGAGAGATTTTTTCTCTCTCTTTCTCTCTAAGCAACGTCGCAGCCTCAGCACCACGACGGGAGAGGATGACTGAGAGAGGGATTCAACAGAGTAAGAGAGGCAGAGAGAGAGAGGATGCAAAGACCTCTGCGTAGTGTAATTGTCAGGAATCGCGGACAGATGGACCCAGTATTCAGGAGAGACAGTCAGTAGGAAAGTTCAAAAGGTTTATTAAAATAAAACAGAATCGAAAGCGGAGCTGTGGCTCGCGGACACTGCAGGCGGGGGGGCGGGGCACCGCCCAATCTCAGTCACTCTGGGGGAGAAACACAGGTAAGTGACCACGATCATCTGACAGAAGATTAACTGTGTTGGTCACTTACCTGGTTTAACAGTCCAGACCATGAGTGTCCCCAGTGCTGCAGTCCCAGAGGTGATGGTGAAAGCTGATCCTGGTGAGGGATCCAGAACAGACAGGAACAGAGACAGGTGGCAGGATCCAGACTTCCATGAATCCACAGGCTTCCAGGAGGGTTCAGAGTCTTACTGGGACCAGAAGCATGACCAGTAGGTCACGCACAGGAGCAGACAGGATCAGATGCAGACAGGCAGGCACAGTGGAAGAGGGTAGCCGAGACAGGACGTAGGAACCGGAACTTGAAGCAGACTTTAAACTGGTCTCCACCCTGGAGCCAGGCTTACTTAGATAAAAACTGAACCTCCCCCCATAATGAGCCAAAAACCCAGAGGACTCCACAGGGGAGGAACAGTGGACGATCAGGAGACGAGACAAACACTAAAACCCTCTTTCCACTGACAGCTAGGATCCAGGACATGAACCAAATAAAAACTGAACAGAAAGACAAGCAATGATCTGGCCCTGAATGCTCAGGCTGAACTGAATATAAACCAGAGCATCCAGGTGAGGGGAATAAATTATAATTGAGGCAGGGAAAGAAGAGGGCAGGTGATAGGAATTACTAATTAGGGGAGAGCAAACAGGCCAGATCATGACAGTAATACAGTTTAATGCGGTGGGCTTTGCTCTCTGATACAGGAGCAGAACATTTACAGTACATTGGTCTCTTGTATTTAAAGGTTTGGTGTTACAACCAATGAATGTAAAGGTGAACTAAATATCCACTGAGGATGCTGCATACAGGAGGTTGCTAGAGATGCATACTGCACATCAATGATTCTTTAAAGGCAAATTATAACACTGAGAAAAAAAGAAATGCAAATACACCCAATCACTAACACACTTCTACAGTGAAGCCTTTATTAAACTTGATTGGCATTTGGGCTTAAACTTACAAACCACAGGAAAAAGAGCAGGTGTTTTTTTTTTTTATTCATTAATTTCAATATCCTCTAAAGTATATTTATTTAATTACTTCAGTTTGATGATTTTTTTTCTTCTGCTTTTATGATATGAAAAAAAGACTAATTTAGATGATTATGGGTTAAGGGTGGGTCCCCGGGCCCGCCTGGTGCTGGCGGTTCCCCAGGGAGGTGTGTTGGTGGCGAGCCTATCCGGGGAGGAGGCCCCTTGGTTATAGCTAATTTTAATTAGGAGGATATTTCCTAATTCAGCATTATGAAGAGGATTTCCATTTACTGTACAGCATTTGCAGTCAATACTTGGTCAAGTACATGGATTACTGCTTCGGTGGTGTGGCAGGGACGGGATCAGTCTGCGTCTCTGCTGAACTGTTAAGGAAACCCTGCTTCCATTGATAGCCTGAAGGTTGTTGGATCTGGCGTCTCTCAACTAATCTGTTGAAAATAATCTATGGATTTTATTTATCTGGGCAGTTTTCTAGTCAATCAAGGAAATGGATAGTATGGTCATTAAACCACATCTGTACTTTCGGCAGTGACAGAAAAAGAAATGTCTGACTAAACTAGAATTCAGCTCCCCAAAGGCTATAAAAATGGTCCCGGTAGATAGCTTCACAGATTTTGAACTTAATAAAAAGCACTGGACCAACACCAGCTCGACATGGGTCTTCAAGTCAATGCTAAGTGTAAACTACTTAGCACATTCCAGTTGTTTTCTTTTTTTTTCATAGCAGTTCAAACACTTCTGACATGGTTCCTGGTTAAATAGATGAAGGCGTTCTACACTTCCCTAACACAAGGCATGGAGAGGTTGTAAGTTTATATCTTGTGTTTGTATGATGGCTTCTGAGTACTGACTTCAGTCACAGACAACATCTTTTTGACATTTCCCAAACTCTTAATTTAGCGTGGATTCAAAACCGTCTAAGTGCTTCTGCTAACCATTTCGCTATTTAAGCTCTTTACTTATTGCATTTTTTGATACCACTTCACATTAAGCTTGCATCACTCTGAACAGGCAGCAGACAATTAAATTTATATTAACTATGACAAGTCAGCAGCTGGCTTCATCATTGTGTAGGCTATACCATGGCCATAACAAAGCAGTTCTTCAATAGAACTCATTATACTGATCTAATGTAATATTCTATTTTCCACAGAAACTGAAGTTTTGGTGCACTTAAAAAAAAAAAAACATTGTTTTTAGCTCTTGACAGATGTAAATTATTCAACATCTCAACATACATGCTAAGGGGAAGAGTTCACTGCAGTTTACATTATGATATCATTTACTGTCACGGCTCAGAAGAGAAGGATCCAGTATTCAGGGCAAGACAGATCAGAGCAGGAACAGGCAGCCTCAGAGATCCAGGAGTTCAACATATTCTCATTATCAGTTCGTATGAAATCCTACAAAAAGTTATGCACAGTATTTCGTACGTTTTGGATGTTTTTCCTCGAAGAAACAGATCAGTGCGCATGCGCAGCCAGACAGACGAAAAAAGCAGATCCGCGGACGGACGTAAAACTGGGAAAAACACTGCAATAATTACTTCTTCATGTCTCTCACTAGGTTGCTTGCTGTTTTGTATCTTAGGGTTAGGCTTAGGGTCAGGGTTAGGGTTAATTGTATGTTAAATTCTGTGTTATTGAATGGTGCGTAAGATGCGCATGCGCAAGGATATCTTGTCAAGACGTAAAAATACGATGAAAAAAACGTCCAAAACGTACGAAATTACGGTGCATAACTTTTTGTACGATTTCGTATGAACTGATAATGAGAATACACTGAGGAGTTTGATGCCAGGTCAGGCAAAAGATCAGAACAGAAACAGGCATGCTCAGTGGTTGAGAGGCAGAACAGGTCAGGATCAGGAAATCAGAAACACTTAGGTACTCTAAAAACCCTCTCATCACTCGCATGAGAGAACAAGATTAATCTGGCATGAATGACTGGATGCAAGCACCTTAAATAGAGGCAGGTGGATGAGATGAGCAATAACGAGAAACCGGGCAGAGTTAGACAGGTGAATTGAATGAGTAATAAAGCCAGTCATCAGTGCCAAGATCATGACATTTACAGTCAGGCAGAACCAATGTGAAATGTTTCAGGACCCCTGCCAGAAGTTTATACATCCTTCCATTTAAACGTGTCTACTGCCTGCCACTAAATTCCCTTTAACATCTCTTTCATTTGATCCAATATTGATCTTTTTTTTTTGGTTAACTACAGCTTTTTCCAGAGCTATCTGTTAAGTCAACATTAAATTCTTAAAGCAATTTTTATGGATTTATTTCAAAACTAGGTTCTGTTGAAACATTGTGAGCATTTAATATCTTATAGGAAGTATCTCTGGGATTTTGCTTTAAATCTGAAGATTTCATGGACAAACAAGGAAATATTTCATGTCAGGCAATTATTGCCTGAAGAGTAAAACTCAACAAAGTCAACCAGGGCAGTTGCCCCCTTTATGATAGCAATTAATTTACACCTAACATAAAAAAGGGTGCTTGTTGGGAACAATATATTATAGTTTCGTATAACGCGACAAACACCTATTTCAAAGTGTCTAATAAAATTTCAAGTAATACTGGGCCCTCTGGGATCAAGCAAATACAGAACTTACCTTCCTGGAATATTTTCTAAAGTTCTCCAAGGTTGAATGATAGTGGAACTGATTGTAGAAATCCATTTATAGAGAATCACATCAAATCATCTCAAAACCATGTGTGCTCCATTTCTCAAGCCGAACTCTCAATATTGTTAAAACATGTGTTTTCATAGAAAATGTATTTTTGCTTTAAATGTTTTGTTTTTTTATGTTTAGTCTATGTTTTGGTGAATTCAAAAGTTAAAGACAATATTGTTTATGGTTAAAGGCGAAAGAAATTGTTTTTACCTCAAAACACAAACAATATAATATAAAACACAGACTGATACCATTCAGGAAATACTCATTATATGGTCAAACAATGTTGTTGTGTAAGCAGAGAGGGTTTAAAATTGACTGCAAGGTGTTTCTTTTTTCTTTTTAAGGAAAGCATACATGTTAGAAAACAATGGGTAGAATATGTTCTCAAAAGGTAATAAGCACTAAAATAAAATAAAAAAAACACAAAATGATCAAAAAGAGCAGACGTGTATTACATTATAGCTCCATTGTTGGGGGGGGAAAAAACAGCACAGAAGGGTTCTAAAGCATAAGTGTTGGCTATAAGAGTCAGTTGGTTTGCCCCCTCTCAGCTAACTATAAGGAAATCTGCTCTTATTTTGCTTTTTTCAATTTGTATTTTTCAGTATTTTACTGACTCTGTTATCTAGGTACATATTCATGAAGGCCAAAACATTTATAATCATCATGTGAAACAATAAATTTCTCCTTCTGTCTTATTGCATTGCAGTCTTAATCCTGCATGCTTCATCCAGCTCCCCTTTTAGTAGATTTCTTGTGTTGATAGCAGGTCTCAGTAAGTGCACGTTGTAGCTATCTGAATCATTTATGAACGACCAACTGTGGACATCCTCAGACCTAACATTGCTCAAAAACTGCCCCTGTATGTGCCCATATTGTTGCATTGTTTCACACACTGCAGAATGTGAGGATTTCCAGGCTAGCGGGAGCACAAAGGTGCTTGGTGCAATGTTGAATCATGAGAGTGTGTGTGTGTGTGTGTGTGTGTGTGTGTGTGTGTGTGTGTGTGTGTGTGTGTGTGTGTGTGTGTGTGTGTGTGTGTGTGTGTGTGTGTGTGTGTTCC